TCTGTAAGGTCCATTCCAACCCTTAAATTCTGTGATTCTATGATCATGGCAACTAGACCATGGCACTAGGTGCCGTATCCATTCTGTCCTTGAACACCTCCACCACCTCCCTGGGCAGTTCATTCCAGTGTCTAATCACACTTTCTGTAAAGAAATTCCTCCTAATGTCCAATCTAAACTTCTCCTGGTGCAGCTTATGTCTATCCTCTTGTCTTGTCACTTGCTACCTGGGAGAAGAGGCTGAGCCCCACCTGGCTACAACCTCCTGTCAGGTAGTTATAGGTCCTGTTTGAAGCTAGAAAAATTCTTTTCTTGTCACCATCTCTTTAAAAACTGCCTGTGAGCTCATGTGTTGGTTGAAGACCTTCATCTGCCTGTTGTAGCCACTCACACTGTCCCTGGTTGTCCCCAGGGGCTGCGCTCCAACGTCCTCCTGTCCTTCGATGACACCCCCGAGAAGGACAGCTTCAGGGCCCGCAGCACAAGCCTCAACGAGAGGCCAAAAAGGTAACTTCTCTTTGACCCCAGCAGGGTCCTGTGTCCCTTGGTCTCATGCTCACACCCTTCCCTGTGTTTGTCTGGAGGAGGCTGAGTCTGGTCCTCTCAAATCCCACAGTGCAGCAAGCAAGCAAAGTAAACCTCTTTAGGTCAGGGGTTGGGCAGAGAAGAACAGGTTGGTAGGGAGATGAAATCAAACCAAGCTGACAGTCTGGTGGGACAGATTGAGGCATCACTAGGTGTCCTGCAGCCTTTGCAGGGAGGTGTGAGGCTTTTTGGAGTGAATTCCTGAGAACCAACAGTTCTTTCAGGTTGATGTGTGTCAGTACGGAAATAACAGAGAAGGGCAATACCAGAAGTATCAGAATCCCGCGTTCACATGGATGATGTTAATTCTTTTTGATAATTGGTTTGTAATGACTAATTTTAAATGACTGCAGAGAAATGGTTGTGATTAGCAACCTAGATAAATGAGAGAGTCAGTGCTGTGTTATTCCACAGTGTTCTCTGCCAGGTCGTGCACTGGCTGACACACAGCTGCCTTCTGGGTGTCTTGATCCCTGGATTTTTGGCTCTTGAAGCCATCATGTCAGTCTTAAAGTCTTTAGAAGTCAGAGCTTGTCTTGCCAGCAATCTTTCCAAGGAACATTTGCCAGGGCAGGGAAGTACTCCTTGGAAGGCATTCAGGGTGTCTCCACCATCCTTTTACCTGAATTGGTTCACTTCACTTGCTTCAGTGTTATGAGCAGTGAGCACACAGCGGCATCTGAACCCTGGGGAAAGTGCCTCTACTTTACCTGCAAGGCTCAGGGAGCGTCTTGCAATGAAGAAACACCATCCCTGCCCCAATGCTGCTGCTGTAAACCCTGTGTTGTGCTTCATTCTCCCATCTCCTCCTCTTTCATTCAGAAGCCTGGAAGAGAAGCCTTTTGACACACTCATCTCTCCAATTAGAATTTCAACTAATCCTTTTTTTGTTCCTCCCCATCCCAAAAAACCCTGTTGAACTCTCCCAGGTTGGAATACTACTGTATCTAAAGGCCTTTGCTGGATCACTGTGCAGAGAAATCTCTGCTGAGGAGTGTGGGCTGTGCTCAGGCAGTAGCCTGAAACACAGGAATGGCAGGATGCCACTGCCCCTGGGAATGGCTGAGCTTGGATTCTGGCCAGGGGAGAAAGGAAATGGCTTGGAGCAGATATCTGTTTCTTGCTTGAGAAACGTCTCTGCTTGGTTTTTACTCCTTAAGCCTAAAGAATAAGTGTTTCCATGCCCTAGTGAGGTGCTGGGTGATCCAAGAGATGATGATCCCAGTGGTTCCCAGGGTTGCTGGATGTCTTGGTGTTGGTGTCCACAGCACATCTCTAGCTGTGGCCAAAAGTGATGTGTCAGAGGTTGTTGGGAGAAGAACACATGAACTCTGTTCCCTCCAGGTGGCAGTCTGAGATGTGCTAACTCACTGACCGGAGAATGGCAAAGAAATTGTGTTTAGAAACATCCAGAAGGGTTAACTCAGTGTCTGCATTTAAACATGGGGCTGGGAAGTGCTGGGCCAGCTGTTGTGTCCAAATGAGAGCTGAGCCAGGCTTGCAGCTCAGCTGTGACTAATTGAAGTGCCTCTTAGCTCTTAATTGCTGCCATCTCCCACATGTGGTTGGCACCTGCCAGTGTGAACACTAATTTCCTCTCTGCTCCAGTTGAAAGTCAAGTGGATTATCTAGAGCCACTGGAATTAGCTGGTTTGGCAGAGAAGCATCACACAGCAACAGCCAAGGGGATGTTTGTTGTTGTGCAGGGTGAGAAAGGCCTTGTGTAGGTGGGCTGAGTGTCCCCAGTGCCAGCTAAGCTGTCCCCAGCTGAGACCTCTGAGAGGCTCTGGGTTTGTTGTGATGGGGGTAGAAACCTCTGAGAGGCCTTGGATGTCTTGTGATTGGGGTAGAAACTCAGATTTTTTTTGCCAGGCCTTACAAAGACAGAGGTGAGTGACATGTTCCTGTGTCTCCTAGAAAAACTTGCTCCTACCTGGCATATGCTAAGCATTTTAGGTCCTATGGAAATAGTCAGTTGTGCTGAATAGGTGAATTGGGGCAGCACAAGAGATGTTTGAGCCGCACAAAACCTTCTCAGCCTTGAGGAGTTTGTGCTCACTGAGCCCTGGGGTGCTCCTGCCTGGTGGAACAGTGCAGTATTCCAACTCTCATCCCAGCCAGCTTTTGTTTTTCTTTTTAACTTGTACTAATTTCATTTTTTTTTTTGTAGCACATTTAAAATTTTGTTTTCCAAAATGTGGTTTGTCTTTTTTGAATGCTTCCAGCTCTGCTTGTTTGTCTGTTTTAATTTGTTTTGTTTCCCTTTTTCTTTTGGCATTTGTTTGGTTTCCCATCAATTGACCCTGTGACTGTGACCTTTCAACCTACATCCCTACAATGATTTCCTCCCTTCCTGTGACCTCTTTTGGGGCTTGGTGCTTCTCCACCTAGTAGTTTAAGACTAGCCAAAAATGCCAAGCAAGGCTTGAATAACTCTCCTCCAGTGAAAGAGCTGAAAGAACCCTCTGCAGTTGATGCCTTCCGGTCCCGCAGCATCAGTGTGTCTGAACATGTGGTTCGCAGGTAGAGGCACTTTAAGTGGGGACAATCCAAGGGCAACTTGGACATTTTGCTGCAGGGGTGGGTGGAAGAAGGGGGGATATGCATGGGGTGCTTGCATGACTTTGGTAGCCAATCAAAAGCTGCTCAGAGGGTTTGGGAAGGTCTCGCAGGGCTCCCGTGGCTTCCCAACTCCAGGTTTGGGCTGTCACGTCACACCCTGTGTGTGGTTACTTAGCCATGCTCTCTGATGCTTGAGCAACAAAAAAGTCGGTTTTCAAAGTAAAGGTGGTGAAGGGGGAATATCCAAACGAATCCCACCAAAAAAACACACAGAAAGAAAGGAAAAAGTTTGCATTCTGTGCCAGTGAGTCCTGCACAACTCACTGAAGCTTGAGCCTGCCAAGCAGTGACTTGTTCCACTCCTTGTCCCAGGAGAGGCTTTAGAAGCTCTGCGAAGTTATGTAGAGCTTCTCCCAGCCTAGGAGGAATAGTTCCGGCCTCAGTCTAGGGTCTGTTCTCTGATGGAAGTATCCTGATTTAAAGCATGATGCCATGAAAACCTGGATTTGCGTGTCCCTAGGGCAGGGAAGGGGGTGCTCAGTGCTTGTGAAGCTGTTGTTTTCCTGACTAAAGAAAACAGGCTTTGATTTCAGGCATTGATTTGATTGATTGACAAGATCTGATCCCATGAAAGATGAAATATTTGATGCCAGGTTTTCTGGCAGTATTTTATCTGGTATTTCTGGATCACTTCCCTTTAAACTGCTGTCTCTGATGTGTTGATTTCAAGCCTGAACCTGAAGATTTGTGCCTTGATCTGTAAGGATTATTGGCAGTGGAACTTGATTTTCTGGGTTTTGATTTTTAACTACAATTAAAAGGTTTTTGGGGGAAAGAGACTGAAGTGACTGAATTGCAAATATAATCCTGGCACTTCATTTTATGGAATTGTTCCCTGTGAGGGCACTGAGGCACTGGTACGGGTTGCCCAGAGAAGCTGTGGCTGCTTCATCCCTGGAAGAGTTCCAGGCCAGTTTGGATGGGGTTTGGAGCAACCTGGGCTAGTGCAAGGTGTCTCTGCCCATGGCAGTGGATGGAACAAGGTGATCTTCAAGGTCTCTTAGAACCCAAACCATTCCGTGATCCCCTGATATCCTCATTAATCATTGGGTGATTTTCTTCTCCTGTATTTATATGTAAATGGTAGCAACTATAGCTCAGATAATTACCCTTAATGATGCCAAAAAAGCTGTCATGTCAGAAAAACTTTGACTGTATCTCAGCTGAGTTTGTATCACAATGGTACGAGGAGTTGTCTTCATCAAACATTGCAGTCCAGCCTGCACTGAAGTTGTTTCAATTGCCACCTTGGCTGGTTTGAAGGCAGATTTGTCCCTAGACTTGTGCCAATTTCCTGTCCAGAGTGCAATTCTTTTTCTATTTCAAGTTAAATTAGGTTTTACATAGCTATTGGATTTGGAGGGGAAAAAAACAATATATGGAAGAGATGCAACAGAGAAAAAAAGCAAAGCACAGGATCATGAAGTCAAGTCTGGAGTGCCCCAACTCCTGGCTCATGGGCAACATGCTTCCTGGGAAACTGGTGCTGGTTATGGGATGCTTGTCCTCACCATAGATTAGTCAACTCAAAGCATGGTGCTGCCTCTCACTACTTGCTTGGTGCACTTGCCCATGGGCCACCAACCTCAGAGAGCACTGGCCTGGTCAGTTGACTGACAGCTAAATGTTTCTCAGTCTCTGCAAATCAAACACACTTTGTGCAACAACAAATCTGTGAAGCACAACATGAGGCTGACCCAAAACTCTGCTATCCCTGGCCTTGGTGCCTTGGTACCTCTCTGAGCTGGCACATGCATGTGTGGCAGGTCCTGCATCCTTCTGTCTGCTGGGTGTCAGGGACAAGCACTGTGCAATGTGATCTGTCAGTTGGGAATCTTCTCTTCCAGTCGGATCCAAACCTCCATCACCAGCTCCAGCCTGGGCTCTGCAGATGAGAATTCAATGGCTCAGGCTGATGACAACCTAAAGAATCTGCACCTGGAGCTCACGGAGACCTGCCTGGACATGATGGCTCGATATGTCTTCTCCAACTTCACTGCAGTGCCTAAGAGGTACAGGGGCAGCGGGTGCCCAGGGGGAGAGGGTTGGTTTGAAGTTGTTTTCACTTCATGAGTGGAGAATCCCCCTGGCGTGGTGAGATCATGGCAGGTTCAAGCTCCGAGGCCTTTCCTCACTGATCAAATCTGCCTTGGCAAGAGAGGAGGTTAGATGAGAGAAGCCTGGAGAAGAGAAGGCTCGAGGGAGACCTCAGAGCCCCTTCCAGTGCCGAAAGGAGTTCCAAGAGAGCTGCAGGAGGGACTTTGAACAAGGGATGGAGTGACAGAACAAGGGGGAAGGGCTTCCCAGTGCCAGAGGGCAGGTTAGATGGGGTATTGGGAAGAGATCCTCCCTGTGAGGGTGGTGAAGCACTGACACAGGTTGCCCAGAGCAGCACTTCCAGCACATCCCTGGAAGTGTGCCAGGCCAGGTTGAATGGAGCTTGGAGGAACCTGGGCTAGTGGAAGGTGTCCTGCACATGGATGGAACAGGATGGGCTTTAAGGTCCTTCCAACCCAAACCATTATGTGGTTCTCTCAAGTCCATTGGAGACAAACAGCCTTTGCCTCAGCCTCAAAGTATCTGAAGGAGATGCCTTGAAGGCATGAAGATCTGGAATCTCTGTTCCTTGGCCTTGCTGGATCATCACAGTCTGCTGCAGAAGCTCATCCATTATTCTGATGGATAACATGGATGTTGCCAACCAAGGGCTGTGGTACCTGTGTAAAGAAGGAAATCAGGCAGTATCTCCTGCTTGGATAATGAGATCAGCTCTGTTCTCTACCTCCTGAGAAGCGTCTTCATCACCGATGTGTTTGCAGGTCTCCTGTGGGTGAGTTCCTGTTGGCTGGAGGAAGGACCAAGACATGGCTGGTTGGTAACAAACTGGTGACCATCACTACAAGTGTTGGAACAGGGACAAGGTCCTTGCTTGGCCTGGACTCTGGAGAGTTCCAGAGCACCACAGAATCAAGGTAGGTTTTGCTCCCATTTCTATACCTTTCCCCCTAACAAAGTCCCTGGTTTAAGTTCCAGTCACTTTGTGACATGGCTGATTCCTCTCTCAGCACCCCCAATATCTCCTTTTCCCCCAGCTCAGACCCTGTTTTGCAAGTGAGGCAGACAAAAGAAGCCCCAGCCAAGCTGGAATCTCAGCCTGGGCAGCAAGTTTGCAGGAGCTCTCGCAGCAGAGTTCGATCCATGTCGGGTGAGTTCCTACCCTGAACTCTTATCCCGTTCCTGGCTCCGTCTCCCAGGTTTCAGTGTCCAGGTTTCCACTGAAGAGTCCTGAGTCTAGGCTGATGTGAGAAACTGGACCTGCTGGTGTTTAACAGCAGGCAGGTAGCAGCAGCTATTGGCTTCAGGTGTGGTGATGCTCCTCTCGCTTCCCTCTCCTTGCAGAGAGCTTTGATGAGCTTATAAGTTGGATTATAAGAACCACATGGAAGGTAAAAGTCCTTTGGGTTCCTGTAGTGAACTGGCAGCTATGCACCACCCAGCTGCTTTCACCCTCCCCCATGGTGGGATGGGGGAGAGAAGTGGAAGAGGAAAAGTAAGAAAACCTGTGGGTTGATGGAAGAGCCATTTCATAATTGAAATGAAATAATAGTAACTATAATAATTGTCATGAAAAGGAGAATAAAATCCTGGGCAGTTCCAAACGTTGTGTATGTAGCTGCTAGAGGAGCATTAAAGCTTTATATGGAGATATTTGGGGGATAACTAAGCTTGGCTCTCCCTTGCTTTGTGTCTGCCTTGCCAGGTGGCCATGCCTTACGTGTTGGTGCCTTGGACAGCTCAGCCTCCCATTTCCCCAGTGGCTCAGCTTCCCACGGGGCACAGGGTGCTCCTGCCCCTGCAGCTCGCTCAGAGAAGACTAATCCTGCTCCACAGACACCTCTCCAGAAAGAAAAGGCAAACTTGGCTGCCTATGTCCCTCTGCTGACACAGGGCTGGGCAGAGATCCTGGTGCGCAGACCCACAGGTGAGGACCTGAGTGTGGAGGGAGATCTTTGGCTGGCTAAGAAACTGGAGCCTGGGTGAAGTGGAAAATCTATATTTGGTTGTAAATGGATCTCTTTATTGATTACTACCTCTTGAAACTATAGAGCCACGAAATGGTTTGGGTTGGAGGGACCTTAAAGCCCATCCAGTCCCATCCCCTGCTATGGGCAGGGACACCTTCCACTAGCACAGGTTGTTCCAGCCCCATCCAACCTGGCCTGGAACACTTCCAGAGATAGAGCAGCCACAGCTCTGAGCAGCTGCACAGTTGTGTTTGCTGTTAGGGAAAGGAATAAGGACATGTTCAAGGTCAAAATTCTTGAACACTGTTATGTTCCACAATAGAACAGGAATTATCTGTTTCAGCTGAACGTGCTTCATGGGGAAATAACTGACCTGATACCATTAATTAAACTGAGTGTTTTGGATGCCTTTTGGGAATCTGCTGTGGTAATGAGTTAGCAGGGATGAGTTTTGAAGAGCTTGGGGTGAAGTGCAGAGCACTGGGAGTAGAAAATCAATCAAGTGATTCTGCCAACAGCAGAAGAACTGAGGACTTGGTCCATTTACACTTCTGTCTGCAAATTTCAACCCAATTTGTGCTTTTACAATGTGAGTTGTAAACTTCCTGGAGTTGGGAGCACTCAGCATCCTTCCCTGATTCTCTCTCCAGGTAACACCAGCTGGCTGATGAGCCTGGAGAACCCTCTGAGCCCATTCTCCTCAGACATCAACAACATGCCCCTGCAGGAGCTCTCCAATGCCCTGATGGCTGCAGAGCGCTTCAAGGAGCACCGGGAAACGGCTCTCTACAAATCCCTGTCCGTCCCCTCCTCCAGTTTACCCACAGGGACAGCCAAACCCTCCCTCCTGCAGCGCTCCAACACAGGTGAGAGCTGCCAGGCAGCAGCTGTGTCCCACAGGGCTCTCTCCAGCCTCCTTAAAACCTGTTAAGCTATTGCAGGTCTTCTAGAAGAGCTGGGAGCATGAGGGGTAACAGCAATGAGAAAGGGAAGCAGTTCTTTTCCCTAGAAGCTGGCAGGGAAAATTCCCTTCCTCCTTGCTCCTGCTGTTCCGTGGGGGAAGTGCTGCTCTTTCTGAAAGAGGAGTGATGGAGCTGCTTTGGAGGAGTTGTGTGTTTCATGTGTTTCCCAAATGAAAATTACCAAAGTCCTGGAGCTGTTCCCTCTTCCACTGTTTTGGGGCTGATCTGGACATCCCACTTGTAGCTGGATCTGTCCATGCAGTGTTTCCATTGCCATTTGTCTTCAGTCTGGGAGTCTGTGTTGGGCACTCAGAGCTGCAAGTTCGTAGGGGAATGGCCTGGTCCACACCTTGCCCCAGGATCAGCCAGTTCCCACTGGCTGTTAGAGCAGGAGAGAGCAGAGTGCAAATCCTGATGGATTTATTGCTCTGGAAAGGACTTTTCAGCCTCTGTTTGAACCACTTGAGTTTCTCTTGCTGGTTCTGTTTTAATACAGTGGCCAAGGCTTTGCACTTTTATTTTGGTGCTAGTTCCGTGGCTGAAAAGTTGTTAATGTTGGGAGATTAGTGCTGACCAACAGCTCTTAAAGCTGTCTGTAATCCCTGCTCAGAGCTCTTATCACTGCTAGCCAGCACTGAGGCTCTGAGCACTGCTGGCACCAGCACAGTTGACAAGGCTTTGCTGGGGAGCAGTGGGATGGATTGGGTGGAAATCTGGTCAAAATGCCACTTTTCAGGCCAGTTTTAAGCAGGGCAGGGAGTGATTTTAGGAGTTCAGGATGTATAAACACAAAATTGGAGTAAAAAAATCACATGATCACCTTTAAAAACTCAGCTGAGTTCTGAGTTCTAGGTGATGAGGGTTCAGGCTGGAGAAGAGAAGGTTGTGTGGAGACTTCATAGTAGCCTTGCAGTATTGAAGGGGCTACAGGGGAGACAGAGAGGGACTCTGTGTTAGGAAATGCAGTGATAGGACAAGGGGTAACAGGTTCAAGTTGAAGGAGGAGAAATTTAGGCTAGATCTTAGGCAGAAGTTTTCCCTGTGAGGCTGGTGAGACACTGGCCCAGGTTGCCCAGGGAGGCTGTGGCTGCCCCAGCCCTGGCAGTGTTCACAGCCAGGTTGGATGAGCCTTGAGCAACCTGCTCTGGTGGGAGGTGTCCCTGCCCAGGGCAGGGATTGGGACTAGATCTTCTCTCAGGTCCATTCCAACCTCTGAAATTCTATGATTCTGTCAAAAAGCAAAATAATTCAGTTATTTTCCATCAACACATTCATGGACTCCTACAAATCTGTGGTGTGTAGGAGCTCAGTGGCAGCTGAAAGCAGCACCACCTGAATGCCACTCCTGTGCCAGCCTGGGAGTCATTTTGGCCATGTCCCTGCACACCTCTCCAGCAGACTTGCTGCTGAAGCTGGCTGGGAATGCCTATTTGGAAGAAGCTTTGCTGCCAGACTGTTGCATCCATGTTGTTGTGCCTCTTTAGAGGACAAAACTCTGCAGGTCCTGACCCATATTTCTCCTGCTCAGACTCTTCTGTGGGTTTAGGAATGAGCTGGTGCCAGATGTGTGTAGCTCAGGAGAGGCTCAGCCTGGATTCCTGTGTGTGCTGGGATGTCAGGCAGGAATTGTGTGTTTCCAAACCTCATTCTGCAAAGGGAACACTTGGAGTCTGCACTGTTGGATGTGTTTATGTCTCTTTATTTGTCTGAGACCTTGTTACCCTTGGAATATCCCTTTGGCATCTGGTGAGCTTATCCCAGCTTGTCCTTTCCTTTGTTTCATTTGTTTGTTTGGTTTAAACTAGGCTCTTGGTTACATTTTGAAACTCTGTGCTTTTTAATTTTGGATTTTTGATTTTCATATAGTCTCTCCTTCCTTTTGATGTAGCTGCTCACTTGGTTTCCCTTTGCAGTGGCCTCTTTCTCTTCCATGTACCAGTCCAGTTGTCAAGGGAAGTTGCACAGGAGCATATCCTGGGCAGGTATATTTATATATCTTTAAGGAAAACAACCAACCAACCAGTTTTTGCCATAGAAGAACACCTCTGATTCATAGCAAATGTGTCCCTCATTCCTCATTTCCTCCTTCCATGTCTCCTCTCTGTCCCCAGTCTCATCACTCTCAACAAATGGGATCTTGACTAGCATGAAGAAGTCCAAGCCAGATCCTACATTTGCCAGTGCAGCCAATTGAAGCCACTCTGGGTTGAGCTGGGGTGACTGTGAGGCCTGAGCAGAGTGTCCAGTGCCCTGGCAAAGCCTCTGGGTGCTTTGATTCAGTGAATTCTTCATCTGCAGCTTCATTTTACAATTGGCTTTGTGTTCTGTTCAGTGTCAAAGCTCCTGCTGGTGAGAAGAGCAGGACTAGCTCCCCTGAAATGAAGTGCCATGCTCAGCCCACAGGAATCTCCCAGAATTGGGCACAGAAAGAGAAAAGGAGTTGATATATATCTATTGTAATACATGTACAAAGTTTGACGTGAGCATGGAGCTGCTTGAGTATTTTAAAGGAAAAAAATAACTATCTCAGCAGCAAACCTGCTAAATTCTCCTTTTTTGAGGCTCTGTAATGCCCCAGAATGTTCCTCCACTCGAGTCAAATTGATTTTGTAATGAAGTGGAGAACAAATGACACACCTTGTGAGCACAACACCTGCATTGCTTTGAGAGCTGCAATGCTCTGTGAGCTTCATTAGAGGCTTCAGCTGCCTTCCTGCCTCTTCCCTGCACTGAAAACTCTCTGCAGAGCACTGGAGTGTCCTGAACTGCTGCTGGTTGTGCTCAGAGCCTCTCAAAGCAACATGAAGCTGCTGCAGCTCAGTATTTTGCTGTACTTCTCTCTGCTCCTGTTGTTCTGTCACCCCTAAAAGTGTAATTAGTAATTAGATTGTTGAAATCCACCTGCAGTGTTAGCAGTGGTACCAGAGGGAAGCTTGGGAGCACTGGATCTGTGCAGGTGTGTTCTGGCTTGGACAGCTAACCAGATCAGCACGTTGGGTTTGGTTTCTTTTGGTTTGGTTTGGATGTTTTAGAAGGTTTGTGTGCGCAATGCTAACTCTTAATTGCTTCTTTGGAATAACTTTGGTCCTGAGAGCTGAAATCAATTCAGGGAAAGCTGCTTTAGTGATTTTTTTCTTTGTATTTTGTTTTAACTTTGCTGATTTTCTTTCTTTATTTTGTGTGTGTGTGCTAAGTTTTGGTTTTATTATTATTAGTAGTAGTAGTATTTGGAAAACAAATCTTGGCCTTTCAGATTGGTCTTCCAGTCCCTTGTGTGCATAATGGGAAGCCTCCTGTTCTCCAGCCTTTTCCTCAGGACAAAAAGCAAGGCCAAGAGGAGCCTTTGGGCAGGGTCAGTGCCTGGAGCAGATCCAAGGTTAAATCCTCCATGTAGGCAGAGCTTCCAAGGGGATCTCTGGTCTGTGTGGCTCCATGAACTCTGTCTGAGCAGATGTGTCACTCCTGCTCTCTCCTCCTTCCACATGTTTTGGGCTCAATTGTTTAGCTTCTCCTGAGAAATAGGAAAAATGGCAAACTGCAAGGAAATGGCTCCTAGGAAAATTCTTACCTCCTTCCAGGCCTCAAGGCACAGGAGCGTTGCATTTCAATGCAAGCAAAACTCCCTTTGTTTCACACTTGTACAGACCCGATGTCTTCAGTGAGCATTTAGTGCTAGTCTTGTGCTGTAGTTCCTGTCTGTCCTGGTGACAATGTCCAAGGTCCCATTCCCTCATCCTGTCCCCTGCTTGTCCATCACAGCAATTGGAGAAACTGACTTTGCCCGAGGCAGACAGCCCTTTGCTGTGGGAGTGAGGTGCAAAGGGGAAGCAGGAACAAGTGTGACACGGCAAGAAATACAAGAGCCAGAGAGCCAGAGCACTCCTTCCCCATGGCCTTCCGTTGAGCTCCCGTAGGGAAAAGGCTGGTACTTCAGAGGAGAGGAGGGGGACCTGCCCCTCTGCCCCCTGCCCACGCCTCAGTGCCTCTGCCCTGTGTCTCCATAGAGTCTGCTGTGGTGCTGGAGGAAGGGAATGTGGGGGAGATGGAACTGAAGGAAACTGAATCCCCAGTGGAGTCTCCAGAGAGTGAAGACATGGAGACGTCGTGCTCCGAACACATCCTGAGTGAGGAGAGGTTTGGGAAAGCACAGGAGTCCTACAGCAGGGTAAGGACAACAGAGTGGGAGTGTGTCCTGTGGGGCAGCCACAGGGAGAACTGGCTGGGTCTTCCCTTTGGCATCCTCGGGAAGCGCTCACTAATGACACCAAAACACACACGAAACCATTATTGAGGATTTGGATGGCCTGGAGGGGCTGCAGGGGAAAATCTCTGTTTGATCAGGGTCTTTGATCCACAGTGTATCATGGTATGTGAAGGGGTTGGAATTGAGCCTAGAGATCCAGCCCCAGCCCCTACCCTGGGCAGGGACACCTCCCACCAGAGCAGGTTGCTCAAGGCTTTAGCCAACCTGGCTGTGAACACTGCCAGGGTTGGGGCAGCAACAGCCTCCCTGGGCAGCCTGGGACAGTGTCTCACCACCCTCACAGGGAAAACTTCTTCCTGATGGCTAACCTAAATTTCCCTCTTTCCATTTATCCTCATTAATCCTTGTCCTGCCACTGCAGTTCCTAACATGTTCCACATTGCTTTGTGCTTGGCACCTTCCTGCTCCCCTTTCCCTGGAAGAGTGGGGATGCCTTGAGCATTTCTGGTTTCAGCTTTCATTTTCCCTGTCAGGAGCAGGAAGAAGTTCTTCACCATGAGGGTGCTGAGGCACTGGCACAGGTTGCCCAAAGAGAGCTTGTGGACTCATCCCTGGAAGTGTTGCAGTCCAGGTTAGATGGGGCTTGGAGCAACCTGTGCTAGTGGGACTGGATGGGTTTTAAGGTCCTTCCAACCCAAACCATTCCAGGGGTCTTTAAGGTCCTTCCAGTCCAAACCATTGCATGATTCTATGAAAACTCTTCATCTTTGTTTCTCTCTCTTCAAGTCCTCTTCAACCTCCAGCCAAGAAGATAAATCCATGAAGTCAGAAGACCTGGTAGAGGGTGGAATTCCCATTGGGAGAGAGGATGGCAGGACACTGGAGGAGCTCTCCTTCCAGCCATCCCAACCCCTCAGCAAGTCCAGCTCCTCCCCAGAGCTCCAGACCCTGCAGGAAGTGCTCAAGGATGCCAACGGCAGAGAAGTGCCGAGGAGGCTGAGCTCGGAAGTGAAATCCAAGTCCCAGTCTGGAAACCTGGAAGGGGAAGGGCTGGGCAGCTGGCTGGGCCGGGGGGAGGACCCCAGGGTGATGGGCTCAGGGGGGTTGGATGGCTCTGGAGCTGCCACCTCCCCTCGGTCGCCCTCGGGGCACCGTCCCCGCGGGTACACCATCTCAGACTCGGCCCCGTCGAGGAGAGGGAAGAGGATTGAGAGAGATGCCTTCAAGAGCAGGACAGCAGCTTCCAATGCTGAGAAAGTGCCTGGCATAAACCCGAGGTGGGTGGAGGAGTTGTTGGAAGCACAAGTGTGAGCTCAGAGCTACTGCGCCGTGGGCACTTGAGGGGGCTCTGCAGGTTTGGGGCTCTACAAAACAGCACCTGGTTAAAAACATTAATCACCTGGTTTTAAGGAGCTAATATATCCATGTTGAGCTACCACCAGATGAACTTTGTGATTTAGGAAACAGAACTCCTAAGTGCTGAAAGAAATAGATGAATAGTTTCCTCCTGTTCTTAATCAGTGCTAATTCAAGGTGTGTGGCTTGACTGCAGGTCACCTAGAGTTAATGTTGCTGTGAGCAGGGTGAATTGCTGGGTTTGCATTGCAAGAAATAGAATGTGCAGAATCCTAAGAATGGAAAAATAGATGTAGTTACTGCTTTTTGAACTGGAGATATTGGTAGGTGCCCAAAATTGCATGATGAGATAATTTTTCTCTTACTGAGGTGAAATGGAAATGTCTGCAGTCATGTGTCTGTAGCCT